GATTCTAAGAAGATGTTTAGTCAGCAAAGAACTTGGTCCCTCCAGTGTCATTGCTCTCTTTCTCTGGTTGGCTTGTGGTGTCTCCATATTTCAAGCTGGAGAAGATACTTGGGATGTTGTAATCCTATGGTATAGGTAGTATTGTGCACTGTATGGCACTATTTATGGTGGTTTTATGAAAGTTTTTTACCAAGTTCTATCTTACTTCTGTTCTTCCTGCTGCCCATGTTGATTTGATTCTGCTACATGTATCTCCTCATAACGAATTGTAATGAAAACTTTAAGATGCAGCATGGTTACTTGTAAAACTAGCGTTTTGCTTTCTTGCTGATCAAAGCACAGTCAGGAAGGTAAGAGTTAGAATTTCACAGTGCTGGCAAACGAGGGAATTGGGTGCCTTCATGAGGGACGAGCACTTTCCAGGTCTGGTCTATCTGTCTCTGCCACTTTAATGCTGCAGTTTACTGCCAAACTAAACGGAAGCGTAGTGGGAAACTTAACAGTCATCCGATACAGACACCCACCGAATAAATTCTAAAAAATGAGCTGAGCAAGGGATTAAGGTTCCCAGAGGGAAATGTGGAACAGAAGGGCTTGTTGTGGCAGGCTGGTTACAAGGGAGTGACCGAAAGGATTACTTCTTTTTCCAAGCTGACTTGTTGTCATTTTGCCAAGTCTGTTTAGCTGGGCTGCTCTATTAACTCCTCTTATTTCCTGGCATATGCTAGCGCTGTGCAATGCCCATCTTATTTATCTTCTTCAGCGAACGTCTTGGAAACATGTTTGGATGATAACTCTATATGGACTATGATGCTGGCAGCTTAAAATTTTTATTAACCTGGTTTGCTAAATGGGAATTGACGAAAGATGTGACAGTATTTGTGTAAATGAGACAGGCTTCATAAAAGACCCGTCACAGACAGACCCTGGTCCTTAACAAAGGTAATGGGACTAGCTTTGTGGCAGCAGCAAGAACTAAGCCCATGAATCAATCATGCTGAGAAGGAGTTTATGTAGGAAATCATTACTCACTCACGTATATAAAACCCGTGTCCCATGCTTGGTGGCGCTGAAGTTCTTGAATTCCTCTGTGGACTTAATGGGGCTGGGAATGCAAAGCCAGGTGCCAGCCGGAAAGAGTTTTCCTTCTCCACTTTGAGATGCGTGGTGGTGTTTTCAGAGGTGTTTTTTTTCATTCAACAAAATAAGTGTTTTGATTTCAATTAAATATAAGGAGAGGAGTGTGTCTTCTGAGTACCTAAAAATAAGTGTTTTCAGTTATAATCCAGGCCTGCAGCACCGTAATGTAAAAAATGTAAATCGTGCTCAGTTCTGTGCTGTTGCAGGGTGAGAACCTTTCACTGACGGGTATACGTTTTGCTTTTGCAGGATTCATATGCTGATCAATGAAGGCTATGAAGACAGAATTCTGATCGCTCATGATGTGCACACTAAGAATAGGTTGATGAAATACGGAGGTCATGGATATTCGCATATCCTTAAAAATATCGTTCCTAAAATGCTAATTAGAGGCATATCCCAAGATAAAATTGATAAAATACTCCTGGCAAATCCAAAGCGGTGGTTGACTTTTAAGTAGGAATAGTGAATAAATATTCCTGTTTTACAGGGAAGCTTGATAAAATTCAGATTTGTTTCAGGAGAGCGGTCATTTAAAAACCTGGCTCTTTTCAGAAAAACTGGAAATTACTGATTAGATACAAACAAAATGATTATGACTTTTATTTTTAATTAGAACAACAAAATTACATATTCCCTCTGCATTGTCTCACTTCTAAAAGTCTGTTCATGAATGATTTACCGGATATGAGCCTACCTGCAAAATCTTTTCAACTGAAATTTTAAAATAATTGTTTCTAGAGAATAATTAATACTATTATTAAAAGTTACCCAAAAAATATTTTTGAAGATGCATCATCTGGACTTTGAAGGAAATTATGGGTTTCAATTCCCCTTCTCCAGGGGGTGATTTTAATTCTTACAATATTGCCAATCTTCTAATTACCCTTATATTCTTTAAATAATGCTTGATAAAAGGTCTGGGACTTTTACATAGCTTCCATAGACAACAGAAGGCGAACGAAATCTCAAATAATTCTAAAAAGATATTATTTCTTTCTAGTTTAAGAATGTACTTATTTTTAACTGGAAGTGTAAAAAATACATGGAAAAACGTATTTTTGAATAAAGCAATTTGATGACCTCTTAAACTGCGTGCCGTATCATTACAGATGTCTTTTTTTACTCGCATGAATTTTTTATCCTGGACCTTTGGAATCCCACAGCCATCATGTGAAACTACCCGCGAACCAGCTTCTTTTTGTAAGGATGCAACACCAAAAGTCAAAATATATTACATAATACGGTTTTAATGAGTTGCAATAGTTATAACAAAGGTTGTGGTATAAGTCTTTACAAATCAGTGTATCGAGATATGATGAAAAAGGAAGAAATGTTTGCCTTATATGTGGTTTTCACATAAAGTGTGTTCTTTGCTCTTGTCTGACTTTAACCAGGGCAGGTGATTTGTCAAAAAAAATGGTCTTACCCAGTAGCAGCAGTAGCCTGATTTCAAAAGCTTCTTCTTCAAATTTGACCATATACGCCTTGCAGTAGTGAGCTTTTCCAGTAAATGCCTTGGTAAATACTCATGGCTTAGCTGTAAATGATCTCTAGCCTGGTTCGCTGCTGTTTGATGCTACGTAGAAAATCTCTAGCTACCCTGCTGTTAGGAGTGCGCTAACCGGAAAAGCAACAGTGGAACAAGCAGACACGAAGTCGGTTTAATAACATCTGTTATTAAAATACATTACCTCGTAGAAAAGAAACAGGAGTGACCACTACAATGTACGGATATAGGCTGGCACTTTGTCAAAAAGTAAAAGCATTTACCGTTCTGGTGAGAGAATACAGAAGCAACTGGCAGCACAACGTCCCTCTGTAAATCCTGGATGAGTTGGGCTGGCGATCCTCTCAGTCAGCCTAGACTGACTTGGCATCTATTTGGAACTGGATGACTCGAAACAGAAAGGGTAACACGTTCTGTTTAAGAAAAGCTTCACTCATTCAAACGAGAGATTTTGAGAGAGATCCGTACAGGCTTTTACTGAGCAGCCAGCACTGAAGAGCTTTTTTGTCACAGAGGCAGACACTTCCAGCATTTTAGTGCAGATAAATCCGAGTTTGTACCCTTAGTACATTCAACAAGGCTGCTTGTGGCAGAGTATGTGAAATAGAAATGTTAGGGGTAGCCTCTAGTGCTCTTTGACAATTTATAGAAATGGCACCTTGATTTTGCCAAAACGTTAAAAATAAATAACATAACCGGCTGTGCTAAGGAGCTAGTTAATTATCTCATTAAAATGTAGGTTTAGAATGAAATCTGCGAGTTTTAACCTGAGAGAAATCGACAGCCTTCCCTCCCAAAACCAAAACAAACAATAAATCCATTCTCTGAATAAAAATATTCTGTGGACGTTACTGGTATGACTGATTTTAAAGCATTTTTATAACTATGTAACTCATAGTACCTGTGTTTAGTTTAATTCTCCAAGCCATTAATCCTTTATATGGATTAAACTTCTTTGAAACTTTATATATATATCTATCTATATATATATGAATGAGAAAAATAGGTTTTAATACACACTTTTTTTTTTTTTTGCATGTAAATATCTGCTTCTTTCTTTGCATATGTGTTATCATTTTTGGTAATATGCTTATCTGTGTCCCTTCCATAGGCACGCCTTACTACAAACTGGTAACTAGCTACCATGGAAAAGGTCTGCGTGACGACATTTTCTCACGTGTCAGATCTCCTACTCTTCCTTTGTGGGAATAATCCCACTGACTTCAGTGAGACAAGACACCTAAGACAAAACACGGCTTTGAACCTATTATATTCCTACGAAATTCTAGTTGAACATCTGCAGTATGTTAAGTCATAACTATTTTATTCAAAATAGTACCCAAGTACAGACTAAGTCCTAAAAGACTACTGAAGACTAATTGCTGCAAAGAAAACACTCTACCTTAGTCTGAGGATGTGGATGCCAGGCTTGCTAAATATTTACACAACTAACCATCAAGAATGGGCCTGTAATATTGCCTAAATATATATTTACACATGTTTACAAATTAAAAGCCAAATCCTTTTTCCACTAACCTCAATGGGAGTTTTGCCATTGGCTTCGGTGGAATCGGGGATTCGGTCCAACAGAATAGTTTGTCAACAGTTATATATTTTTTGGGGGGGGGGGGGGGGGGGGAGAGGTTAGTATGTGTGAAATTCTTTTCCTCAGGAAAGGGGAAGACAAAATTTAAACAACTCCACTGGATTGATTTTATGTTAAAAGTCTAATGTAAACCTACAAAGCAGGAACACTGAGTTAAGGCTTGAAGCTGATTCATTTCTAGTTTTAAGTGGAAGGGTAAGAAAAGTACAAGGCAAACAATTCCTTTGGAGAGAGAAAGTATATTTTGATTACCTCTTCCTTTTATTGTAAAATCATTCCTCACCACACTATGAGTGGACTCCAAGCATCATTGTTAGCAAGTCACAAGAACCAAAGCTGAAGTATGGATAAAGCAGCAAGATCATAACACGTCAAAGTATCATATACACTGAAGAAATAACTCAGCGTCCTTAGGTGGGTTGTTTGGGTTGGTTTTTTTTTTTCCTATAAAAATTTGATCTATGTAGGACTTCATTCACATGGACACTAACAACGAGGAAGTACTTGCTTTGGCGGTAGTGGATCGCACATCTGCTTAACTTGGTTTGTAATTTTTTAACATAAGGTTTCTCTGTGTTGTACAGATGTGAATCAGGTAGCATTCGACTTTTTTCCCCTGCTACTGAGGTGTTCGGTGGTCGCTCTGCTGGGGTGCTTGTTTCATTGACTTCTGCCACACAAATCCATTGCTCAGAAGAGCAAGCTGCATTTTTGGACTGGTTTGGTGGGTCTTTTTACTCATTGTCAGTCAGCATAAATAATAAATCCAGAAAATGTGCTGTATTTGTTGTTGTTTCCTCCATGCGCTTTTCCTCCATCTAATTTAATGTAAACTTCGTCTCCGGGCTCCAAGTGAAGAACCACGCTGTTACTGGCATAGTCGTAGTTCTGATCGGCATCCTGAGCAATCGCACTAGCTCGAACCTACGTAAAATACATAACGAGTGGTTAAGAAAACGCAGATAACGGTTACTGCATGGCGCAATAAAAGCATATCCTCACTGGTTTGTTCAGCACGCATACGTCGCCGCTTTAAATGTCTGGCAACATACATTGTGGGGTTTTTCATATGGGTATTACAGCACAACATTTGAAACTAAAGCGATAACGCCCTCATTTCTTGGTTAGCATGTTGAGACACGACTGCTTGCATGCCGGTAAACGTTTGGAGCCTTTTTTAAATATATGCATAATAATAGCTGGAGATCAGAGAGCTGAATCTGGTCGTGTCCCAGTTCTGCACTGGGGTAGCTTTTATTTCAGTGGAGCAAGTGAGTGACATTGGCGAGGATCCATGGTGAGGCCCTATTGATACCAGGCTGGACTTTTTCCAGAGGCAAGTTATTGTCCTGCTGCTAACAGGACCATGCTGCAGACAGACTACAGAAAGTACGCACCCACCCACGCACACGCACACGCCAACGCACGCAGGCAGGTAAGGATCCTAGCTGGGGTTTGGAAAATCTGTTACTGCCACATTTCAGTAAGCAAAAATTTTAATTCCTGTGTGTTGTGAGAGATGCACATTTGGAAAGTCACAGGCGAGTCGCTACGCGCTTTAAGAGGTTGCAGAATTTACAGGTAATGGAGGACTTTTCCTTTGCAACTTTCCCTTAAACATATGGTTTTCCCCCGTTTCTCCCTTGCTATTCCGCTACTGATTAAATTCGACATGACTAGCAAACTGCAAGTAATCTGTAATTTCAAGACGTATGTTGGTTTCCAGCAATGAATAGCCTGGGCCACTGTAAGTCTCCCAATCATTTGTATATAATTTGACCCTGTTTGGTAAAATATTTCAATTTAGTCGTGTGTGATTTATTTCAGTGTAACACATCATCTGCTTGTTGCTTGTCTTTGTTCTAGGGTAGTTACAGAGCAGTAAGTGATTTAGTGGTACTGCAAACCTGAACTAAGTAATAATGCATGACTTGGCGCACTGTATGTGGGATTTTATCTGCTCTGAATTGAAAAAATAGGCTATAAGTCACAAATTTCCATGGATTCCTTTCAAAGTTTAAATGATAAATTTCCAAATTAAATTTTCATGTAATATGATCTCGCATTAATACTGAAATGTTAGAAAAGGAGGGGGTTCTTTGCCACGCAGGATCTTACGGCATTATGCAGCTTAAAAAAAAATCACAGTAGGTGGAAATTCTTTATGCAACCTGTAAGAAGAGGGAGAAGGGCTTAAAAGACTTTGTTAGTGGTGTGATGACCTGCAAATCTAAACCAATAGATGGTGTGATGATAAGCCACAACTATTTCAGGACTTCTTGATCCTGAATTGCCTGGCGTTGTTTACAGAGGCAATCTATTTTGCTGGTCTTTAAGCAATGATGATTTTAAGCAGAGGGTAGTTCCTCTGGATTAATGGCTAGCAGGGTGGAGCTGAAGGCCATTAACCCTGGGAACATCTTCCATAGAAAATCACGGGCTGAGGCTGTATCTGGTGGCATAAATGGAAAGGGCAAATGGGAAGGAATAAAAAAGGCTATGGCTGAGGTAGAAAAACTTTCACAGAGAACTTGTATCTTGCACACGGGCAAACACAATGGTTTAAATTACTTTCCAAATTTCTATTTACATCATCATGAAATGCTACATTTTGGATTTGCCTAAAATGTAGTTTTTCTGTGGATAGTAAAGGAGAATTCGAATTGTATTAGTGACTGTCCTAAGGGAGTCAGCATATGGGCACTGAATACAACAGCAATGGTTAGTTCAGGTTTAAGATTCTAGGTAGCACATACTGGCTGGAGAAAAAAAAGATTCTGGATTCGGAAGCCTAGAAACCAAAGCGTAGATCTTACTGCCCTATGTATAGCAACAAATGTCCTGTAAGCGCCAGTGGTTTTACCTCCTTGTTTGGGTAGCCCGAGCAATTTCTTTTGAAAGCCTGGGAGAACAGTCTTAAATGAATTCTCAGTGTACTGCTGCAAGAGGGTAAATGTATCTCAGACTTAAAGCATTAATGGACTATGTATTTCATATGACTGCTCACCTCATCTTCCGTGGAGTTAGGCACTCAGGTTGCACCCGCACACCAGCTACGCTGTGTGAGCTCAGCGCTTCCCTGTCCCAGCGTTACAACCATTAAAGAAGGCAACGTGGTCACAGCAGAGACCCTGAGGTTCCTCCTCTGCATTGCTTAGGAGTGATTTTTTTTTCTTTTCTCTAAGTCATACACTTTCCAATGGTTTGAATTTTTTCATTGTTAGAAAACGCTGAATGTATAATGTCATCCTTGCCAGACTCCACTTAAATTTCACTCCCAAAATTTCTGAGCTTCCTTACCAACACTGCACAAAGTTAACCTCTGTCACATCACATCAGCGTTTACTGTTGCAAGTAGAAATCGTAATCAAAAGGAGATGCTGCTGCATTAAAAGAGGGCATCAATTTTAAATAGTTTGTATGCAGGTATTTACCCAAATACTTATCTTTGCATAGCTATATACAAATGTATGCATAGAACCCCTGCCTTTTTGTGGTTTTTTTTTTTTTTTAGTTTGAATCACGGAGAGTTTAATTTTTCTCATGTCTGGTACTGGTAGTAGTTATATTTGGGAATGGTTAGACTTCAGCCTCAATTTAATATTTATAATTGGTTTCTTTTTAAAAAGTATCGGTGTGTATTTATGTTTCGGGGTTTGGGAAAATAAACGCTTTAAAACGTGATAAAGAGGGGTCACAAATAGGTGAATGCTTTCATTGCAAGTAAACTGGTCGCGGTGGACAGTTACCGCCTTTGTGTGGAGAAATCGAAGTGAATGTATTACAATGTACGTCGTTTCGTTAGTCCTGGTTGATCTGCTGAGATCGTATTTACGGTAGACATTTTCTAAATGAATTAATTGCTGCTGCTGTCCTCATTATTCTGTTTTCACAGCACTTCTGAGGAGCCATAAACAAAAGGGTTAGCAGGTGG